GAGCCAATTGGCTCTGATATTGTCCACTCCCGCTATATATTCTGCCCTTAAGGAGAGAGCATTCCTTTCGACCCACGGACCCGGCCTTTTGGCCTCCCGCATGAGGGCCTTCAACTTGTTCCCCCCATCTGTTTAAGTGGGCATTGGATGCAATATTGTCTGTGGGGGGCTGGAATGTGTCTGACCTTGACAGAGTGGTGAAATTTTTCTAGGTTCAAGCGAACTGCCCTGCATTCCAACCAGTTGATATTGTGAGTCAGTTCTGTCTGGTTCCACTGTCCCTGCGCTATCTGGTCTTGTAGGTGGGCGCCCCCCCCCAAACAGGCTGGCACCCGTGGCTACCGTCACCCGGTCTGGCGTTCTGAAGAATTCGCCCTTGGTTATCGCCGGGGACGTCCACCAGATCAGTGAGCGGGAAACTTCTGCCGGGAGAAGAACCCTGGCCTGGGAGCAGCTCCTGTGCCTTCGCTGGAATGGCAAGGGAACCATTGTAGGTCTCTGATGTAGAGACGGGCCCAAGGGATAATGCCAATGGCTGAGACCATGGTGCCTAACCATCTAGCCCACGTGGCTAAAGGCACCCTGTCTCCCTTGATTACCTGGATGACTAATCGTCTTAGTGAACACTGTCTTTCGGGTGACAGGAAGACCTTACCTGCCTCTGAGTCTATCAGAGCCCCTAGGTGGATCAGGCTAGTGGAAGGGTAGAGTTGGCTTTTAACCAACCAATATAAATAAACCAATATAAATAAATTAACCAATATAAATAAAATAAACAACAACAAACAACAAACAATAAACGGATTCGCCGAGAACCCGTGATCTCTCAGGATTGGCAAAGTGATATCTAGATCCTCTAATGCCCCTTCAAAGGAGGATGACTGTATGAGCAGGTCATCTAGGTAGCATAGAATCCTAACTGGAATCTGCCTCCAGCTCGCTGCTAAGGCAGCCATTACCTTGATGAATTCTCGCGGGGAGGAAGACTAGCCGAAGGGCAAGGCCTGGTATTGGAAGTGCTGCCCCAGGTAGGAGAACCTGAGAAACCTCCTGTGATCCCTAATGATAAGAATGTGTAAATAGGCCTCTGTGAGGTCTATAAAAGTGAGGAAGTATCCCTGTCTGATTTCCTCCAAGATGGAGTGGAGGGAATGCACTATGAACCTCCTGTAACTGTTGAAGTGGTCCCGCCGCTTCAGATCCAGAATTGCCCTCCATCTCCCTGATGCCTTGGGGATTACGAAAGGGATGGTGTAATGCCCTTGGCCCTGCTGTCTAAAGGCACTGGCTGGATGGCTCCATGTCCAGCAGGAGTTGTATAACCTCCTGCATCAGTAATCTCCATGCTGGGTTATTTGAAACCGGGCAGCTCCAGAAAAACCCCGTGGGTTTAGACAGGAGTTCCAGAGCCGGACTGTGCCTCATGGTGTTCTGAACCTATTTATCCAATGAGGCGCAGTCCCAGCAGTCGGCAAAATATGCCAACCGCCCCCCGGGGGGGTGGCTCAGTTCTGGCCTTAGTTTTTGTGGAAGGGGCGCCCCCTGCCGCATTTTCCGCTCCCTCAGAAGGGCCACTTCTGCTGTCTGCCCCTCTGCAGCCTATCTTGGCGTCTCTGCCTGCTGGAAGAGCCTCCCTGGTAATGCCTGGCACCTGAGTACCCCGCCCCTGAACCCCTGAAGGGATCCTGACCCCAGAAGGAGGATCCGAAGTCTTGTCCTCGGGAACAGGGCCATCTGGAGTAAGGTGCCGCCTTGAACTGTCTCCTCTTAGGGGCTGTGGGGAGCCCCTTCCTCTAGTCATTCTCAACCAGATAGGGGTCCAGAGCGGGTCCAAAAGGGACATCTCCTGTGAAAGGAGTGGATGCCAGGAGCCACCTGTGGCGAACCTCCGCCTGCCACTGTCTCAGCCACAGCAGCCTGCGAGATGCAATGGTGGAGCAATTGCCCTGGAGGCAAACCTTGTTGCGGACAATGAGGCGTCTGCCGCAAATTGGATGACCGCCCCCAGCTTATTGATGTCCTGGTAATGGGGATGCGTTGTTGCAGTTCCTGCAGCCAGAGCAGAGACCTGTTGAAAATGAGGCGATGGTGGCGGCCTTCACTGCCCAGGCGGCTGCCTGATGCCCTCTTCAGAGGGTGAGATCCGCCTTCCTGTCTTCCAACTTCAGAGCCCCCTCAGGTTCCCCTGGCAAAATCAGGGGTGTATGTAGTGCCAATGCCGGGGCGGCCCTGGTGGGTAGGATAGCACCCCCTCCATATCTTTATCCACATTGAAGAAGGCCTTGTCTGTGGATGTGAGTGTGGGGCCTGACGTGGGAGTGGCCCCTTGGCGCTTGACCGATTCAAGAAAGACCCTGGGAGTTGGCACCGTGTCGGTCTCAATGGCCTGCTCCTCAAATATCGTTTCCGCAGAAAACCCCTGCTGCCGAGGTGGTGCCTCTGCTGCTCTGTTCCCAAGCCTGGTGGCTGCTTAACACTTAAAAAGGAACAATTTATATAACAAAGGCTGGAACAACCCGGTGAAGGTCAGTTTAGGAGGGGGCAAGCCTATGTCATTGGATAGTTCATCCTCCCTGACTTCCCCCTCCTCACAATCCAGCTCACTCTCCTCCCGTGATAAGGCTGAGGAACTAAAGCAGTCCTCCCCCTGGGTTTCTAGCCCTTCTGGTATCCTAGGTGAGGATGCCACTGAGGCAGCATTTGTGGCTACTGCAGCAATGTCAGGCATTGCTGGAAGCCCTTCATCATTATGTCTGAAAATTGGGGGCCCCTGTGGTGCTTGCTGGCTGGGGGCCCTTGCCTGTCTGGGGGTGGTGGTGGCAGAGGCTGATCTCAGGGAGGCAGCATGGGGGAGGGGGATTGCCACCTCTGAGGGAGACCCCAAGGACTAGGGGTGTCAAAGGGGATTCTTGCCTGCAATATGGTTATCTCCCCTGTAGTCCCACCTGCTATAGGGCCTCCAGGAGTTTTTCTTTTCCTGGCGTGGGATGGATTTGAGGCCAATTGCCCTCTTGCAAATCTGTTCCAGTCTTTCATGCCTCCTCCTTTCCTATTTAGATGGCTTGGGGGGCTTGTGAACCTGCTTCCAGCTCTGCCCTGGGGGAGAGGTGCTTCTTTTTGTCTCTTGCCTTTCTTCCCTCCCACTTCTCTGGGCCGCCTGTGGGGTGGTCACTAACCTGGTGGGACTGCAGGCTGTTGTTGCCGGTACTGTGTCCTGCCAGTCTCCTGTTGCCTCTGGGCGCCGCCATCTTGGAACATGTGGTCCCTTTTGGCTTCAAGATGGCGCCTGTGCCAGGAGATGAAGGCACCTCCTTTGAATCTTCTGGCCGGGTGGCTTGTGCTCCGAAGAGCTGCCGTGCGCCTCCGCTGTTGTTTTCTTCACTTCCCAGGCCGCTGGAGTCCTTGCTCTGCCCGTGAGCCCCCTCCAATGAGGTGAGTCACGTAACAACGGGGCGGGCGCTCCGCAGCATTTGCAAGGCTCCCTTCCAGGGAGCAGGGGGGCTCCGCGCCGCCCTTGCCTGTCCCTTCTCTCGATCAGTGGTGCTTGGGGAAGTCTCCAGCGCTGCTGGCATCCTTGCGGCAGGGCTTGCCTTCCAGAGGCTTGTGCCCTCCGTCTCCTGCTCGCCCGGAAAATTCCTTTCTGAGTGTTGCTTGTCTCACTCAGAAGCCTGGGCAGTGGGCCGCCCCCTGGGGGGCTTTTACCGAACCTTACAGTCCAGGGAGTTGCCAGCTCGCCTAGGATGCTGTAGGAGGTAGACACTGGAATTTTCTTTCCTTCCCTTTCTTGAATATCTTCCACCTGTCGGAGATCCAGGATGGTCAACCATCCAGTTGAGTGGACTGAGTCTAAAAATTGGGTGGAGCCTGGTGGACCAGGAGCTTATACCAAGAGCTCTGATGACTCAGTCCAATCAACAAGAGGATAAAGTCAACCCATCCTGGATACTCCTCCCCCTCACTATGGAGAATCTCCATAGACGTACTAAGCGAGTCTTACTCTACTGTGTAGATCTAGGGCTGCTGAATAACCAGAATGGACATAATTGTTCATGCTTTCACAGTATAGGTCAAGAGTAAGTATTCCCGTTAAGTTGATCATTACCTTTAAATCTTGATTCATGGAAGACAACTGATCAGTAAATGTGGTATTATATGACTTAATCATATTTGGTCTACATTTACCATATATTTTAAGAAACATAATCAGGATGACTCAATTAGTAGAGTGAAGGAGGTGGAATAAAAAGAAAAGTTTTTTTCTGCCATTATTTTGTTTTACTTTCCCATATTTTTGCTAGCAAGGTATCAAGGCTATATCTACAAACAGAACAATTAGCCCCAAATCCCCAAATACTCCAGGATATACTCTGAATAAAATTTGCTTTTAAAGTTAAGCTTACATTAACAGTTGCAATGACAGTTAAGCCTAAAATAGTAAAATTAATAATTAGTAATATTAGCATGTCTAGTTAAAATTGAACCCCCTGATAAGCAAACTGACATTCAAAGTTAAACTCATAATGAAAATTCACAAGCTCTCTGTAATTTTCTGCAAACTTCCATGTCATATTAATGATGGTCCAAAAACCCCATTGCGAATGTGTACGAATACTAAACAATTAATTAGCTAGACAAATTGAAAATGTAAAGGTTACAAATATAAAAAAATATTTCTGGAACTTACCTGAAAGAGGAGGCTTATGTGAATGAAGTGTACAAGGCACACTAACAATTAATTTCTGACCAGGAATTGCAGGAAACTTTTCATCTTCTGAAAGCCTGTTTTATATATATAAAACAAGATAATATAAAAAGAAAACCTTTAAGTGATTTATACAGACATAGTATCTGGAAAAGATTTGTATATTCATTGCTACTTCTCTTCCTAAACAAAATAATTAGAATGATGATAAAAAAAGAGAGGCCACTCTCATCCTGGAAGCCATAATGAAGCTAATACAGAATTGTTTAGAGTATTTTTCTGAAAACTAAAGGGCAGCTTATGAAATTTCTTCGCTTTCTATAAAACAAAAGTAAAACTATAGGAAAAAGACAAAGAGAACACAACCAATAGATATTTGAAATATAAATATTGCCTGGCTTTATAAAAACAGATCAATGTGTAATTCCAGGACACAAATGTTTCATTTGGCAGCAGCAACCAATAATATCCTGTCTAGGGCTAACCCAAGATGGCATATATAAGACATAACTGCAGCTTTACCCTTAACTGCAGCTTTTTTAGGAGACATAGAAGACACCTAGCTTATAGAATGTCAACCACCTTGTTCTTTTTTTGGTTGTTGTTGCAACAGGATTAGCACTAACTTACCCACACTTATATCTCAGCTGTCAATTCCCAACTCTTCAAAAAACAACACTGACTGATAGTAAAGAAAGTTTGATTTGTTGTTATGGACATCAGCATCTTTTCCTTTCCCCACCTACCCTATGCTAACAAGAAAACTGAATAGATCTTCAGAAGCAGGTGGCATTATCTCTTCAGAAAAAGAAGCCGCAGTCTATTAGTTCTGTTCACAACCTGGATGGATTTCAATCCCTATAATTGGCTGCTTATTATGGGAACAGAAGCCTAACATATCAAGAGGTACCTACTTGATGAACACTACTCTGTAAGTGAGAGGATTTCCAACTTTTTCAGGTCATGAAATCTGTGGGCTAAAAACAAAACAAAACCCGAACCCTGAATCAAAAGGCAAAATTCTTGCAACAGAAAATTGATGGTGTTCGAGGGAACTTTTTTTCTTTGTCCTTAGTCTCCCATGAACTCCCATAACCTTCCTGTGCACTTTAAAACATTGCGGGGGGNGACACTGGAATTTTCCTTCCTTCCCTTTCTTGAATATCTTCGACCTGTCGGAGATCCAGGATGGTCAACCGTCCATTTGAGTGGACTGAGTCTAAAAACTGGGAGGAGCCTGGTGGACCAGAGGCTTATACCAAGAGCTCTGATGACTCAGTCCAATCAACGAGAGGATAAAGTCAACCCATCCTGGATACTCCTCCCCCTCACTATGGAGAAAAAATAGTTCAGACCTTCCAACCTCGCAAGATCTTTTCCCCCCCCGTGAGAAGTTGGAAGGTCTGAACTATTTTTTTTACTGTAGTCCCACAGGCTACTTTAGTTGCTCTGTACGTTGTGGTGGTGGTGGCGAAAGGAGCTGGAAAGGTTAGTGAAGGGATGTGGCTGCCCTGGGTGGCGGGGATGAAGGTTTAAGGAAGGAAGGAAGGTTATAATGAGAGAGAGAGTGAGGGTTTGAGGTAAATTCTGCCTTAGCACTTGGCCACCAGCAGCCCTGCTGCCTTTTGCCATCCCCTTGTCCCCTCCTCCTGACCTCTCCTGGTGGTCTCCCATTGTATCACTTAGGATGCTTTGGTTACAAAGCCAGGTCTCCTCGTAAGGAGATGAAGTGGGCCTCCCTCTGACCCATAGACTTTGCCCTCCTGTGCACACTGTGAGCAACCTGGCCAAGGAGAGTGAGCACAGCAGCAGTGGGAGCTGGCCACGGCCACCCTGGGCCCCCACAGTCAACCACAATCCTGATGCGGCCCTCAATGAAATTGAGTTTGACACCCCTGCCTTAAGACCACAACATCTATTTTCAAAACTGCTCTGCAGCTGCACAATTCTGAAAAAGGATGAGCTCCTTTAAGGAGCTGCAAAGAAGTGCTATATTTTGGTCTTCAGATCCAATGCTCTACTGAATATTTTTCAAACTCTGGGCCTCCCATTCTTTTCCAGGAAGTTTCATCCTCCAGCACAATATATTTTTCTGCTGGAGACAATGCTATGTCTTCCTTAAATCATACCAAGAACCACCGTCATTTCTGTACATTAATAAGGAAATTCCATCCGTTTCAGCCAGGTTGGAAACCTACAGGCCGAATCAGGTACCCTTCTTCCATTCATAATACTCTTTAAGATTCCACTGCCAAGATTTAGCAACCAATGAATATTTTTTCAATTTCAACCTATTTTTTAAACCAACAAGGTGTAAAATCAAAGCAGGTTTGTTAAACTTCCAACAACCCTAATACCGGTAGTCCTCAACATACAATCACAACAGAACCCAACATTTCTGTTGCTAAGTGATTCATTTGTGAAGTGAAGGTTGCCCCATTTTACAACCTTTCTTGACAGTTTTTACGTGAATCACTGCAGTTGCTGAATTAGTAACATAGTTAAGTGAATCTGGCTTCCTCACTGACTTTGCTTGTCAGAAGGTTGCAAAAGGGGTTCACGTGACCCCAGGACATGCAACCATCATAAATATGAGCCAGTTGCCAAGCATCTGAATTTTGATCATTGAAGCTGCAATGGTCATAAGTATGAAAAATGGTCATAAGCCACTTTTTTTCAGTGCTATATATTTACTTATCTGTATACATCTATTTTGGCTGTTTAAAAAAAAATCCACCCTTTTAAAAATAACTATTATACTGTTTTCTTTCTGCTGACACCTGGGTTACTAACTCCTTGATTTCCTAGATCCTCAACATTTTAACAAGAAAGGGAACCCCTAGTGCCCATCCTTACACTGGAAGTTTCTGTGCCAGTGGTGGGTTCTGGATCCCGTTGCAAGCAGTACGGTGCAACGGGGCCTGGTGTCTACCACATGAATGCGTGCAGCGCACACACACACACATGCATACTTACCACCTGCGATGCCCCATGACGCTCCAGCTGCTTGGCGGAGCATCGAGCAGGCGTCGTACGCTCTGTGCACGTGCGCGGAAGCCCCGAAGAGCTCAAATACCAGTAAAGAGCGTGGGTGGGCGGGCAGGCCCTCTGGAGCACCATACCGGGACGGTACTCAGTGCTCCCGGCAGGCACTGGTACGCCAGTACCGGGGCGTACCAGTCATAACCCACCACTGTTCTGTGCCCAGGTAATCCTCAACCTATAACTGTAATGGAGCCAGAATTTCCCATTGTAAGTTATGATGGTCGTAAGTTGAGGCATCCACATGACCAACCCAATTTTACAACACTTTTTGCAGCGGTTGTTAAGCAAATGCCCCGCACTTGTTAAATAAACACCATGATCAGTAAGCAAACCCATTGGCTGTTTGTTTTTTTTTTGCCAGAAACCATAGTAAATCGTAATCATGTCTCTGCAGGACACTGCAAATGGTCATATATGCAGACCAGTTGCACTCAATAGGCAATCATATGAATGCAAGGGGAGGGAGTGGGAGGGTGCAGCCATCAGAACTTCAAATATGGGTTGTAAGTTCCCTTTTTTGGGGGGGGGGTCTATCATAACTTTAAACAGTTGCTAAGCGACCAATTATTAAGCAAGGACTACTTGTAGTACAAAAGGTATTCCCAGTGAAGAATTCTAAAGTGCTTTTCTCTATGGGAATGCAGTTAAACTTACCAATCCAGCACTGTAGTATCCAGGAAGATATTTCTCACAGATTTGCACCAGGCACCAGAAAGCTTGCTGTGGAGAAAGACCAAGGAATCTTTAGCTCAGATAATTGCAGCAGCCATATTTGGGTGCATAGCAGACCAGCAGTCTAGCAAACTCCCAGTTAAAACTTTCCAGTTACATGAAGTAAGCCAGCAAATTCAATTCAGGGGCCTTAGCCCTTTCCCAAACCTGGGGCTTCCAGGTTTCTTCAACGACACAGAAGTAACACATCAGAGCCGGTAGCAAAGCCACAGGAGAACAACCTCACAATTGAAGAGACCCAGCTCCCATCAGAGCTTCCAGTTAGTGTAATGGTTATGTTTTAACCTCACACATGCATGATGCTGCATGAAAACATGGTCATTGTCAACGCTCTGGACCCAGCTTCTGGAACTGGTAAAGTCCCTGGCAGTTCAAAAGGATAGATGTTGGCATGTAGCAGAGCAGGATGCCTGGTGTAAAAAAGACTTCCAAAGTGCAACGACTATTATATACATCAGCGGTCCCCAACCTTTGCGGCTTGGTGGCCTGGGAGAGAGGAACCGGCCACACGAGTGGTGAGCTGGCATGCACGTAGCTCCTCTCACGAGAGAAGCCTTTGGGGTGAGGTTTCGTGCTGCTTCAGACTTCTCCGCACCGAAAGACAGAAGGCCTGAAGCAGTGCAAGATCGCTCCCCCAAAGCTTTTTGTCCATATGCAAAAGCTTTTGACGTGGAGAAGCCTTTGGGGACGCAGTCTCGTGCAGGCTACCCAACACTCCAAAAGTGGATTGGATGTCCTGCACAGGCAGCCTCGGTAAGTCAGCAGGGCATGCTCGTCCCACTCAGCCTCTGCTCACACTGCTCCACTTTTGGAGAATCAGGAGCAGGCAGCTTGGCGCCCTAGCTGGGGGTGGGGGGGTGGGGGAGGAGAACTGGTCCACACAAGCAGTGGGCCAGTGCACACCAGTGGTGGGATTCAATTTTTTTTACTACTGGTTCTGTAGGCGTGGCTTGGTGGGCGTGGCGTGGCTTGGTGGGTGTGGCTTGGTGGGCATGGCAGGGGAAGGATACTGTAAAATCTCCATTCCCTCCCCACTCCAGGGGAAGGTTACTGCAAAATCCCCATTTNCTTTGTTTCCCACACCTGCAAAGATGTGGTACAGTGGTGGTATTCAAATTTTTTTACTACTGGTTTTGTGGGTGTGGCTTGGTGGGCATGGCAGGGGAAGGATACTGTAAAATCTCCATTCCCTCCCCACTCCAGGGGAAGGTTACTGCAAAATCCCCATTTCCTCCCGATCAGCTGGGACTCGGGAGGCAGGGAATAGATGGGGGCAGGGCCAGTCAAAGGTGGTATTTACCGGTTCTCCGAACTACTCAAAATTTCTGCTACCAGTTCTCCAGAACTGGTCAAAATCTGCTGAATACCACCTCTGGTGCACACACAGCTCCACTCACACAAAAGAGAAACCTTTGCGGCACTGCTCATGCGAGTGGAACGGTGTGTGCGCATGGCCCGTCTCTCATGCGGGCCATTTCCAAATAGTAGTGGGCCATGCCCTGGGGACCCCTGATATACTGTACTTGCCCCAACCTGATGAAATATTCTGCAAATATAGGTAAAACTAGGAAATATGGTTCTTTCCCAGAGAAAATATGCTTTCTAAACTGGCAACTGCAGTGCAGATGAAGCAGCTCACCTCTGCGGGCATATGCATCAGCAAAACTGCAGCTACAGGCGCTTGTGCTTGGCAGTAACCTTCTTCTGGCCGGTAGATGGTATAGGCTTTTAGGATGCGATAGAGGTCCTGCTGTCTGTGACAGAGAAGGATAAGGAATGGAAAATTTAATCTATATTATTGGACTCTATTGGAGCTCCCTGTTCACAAGAACAAACTCTAGGAAAGCAGAATTCTCTGTTAGGTTTCTTTGGGGTCTTTAATTAATACCAAGGCCTATAGGCCAGTTAATTCTCAGCATTTCTCAGATCTTGTGCCAGGATGTTAATGAAACAGCTAAAAGTCACATGGCAGACATGAGTTCCTGATTAACCTTGTATCCCTTTATCTTAAGTCTAGAGATGAAGAAAGGCATTGAAAGGCACATTAGAGGTCAGATATGGGAGCAAGTGTAGTGCTAGGGTGGTAGAGGCAATTTAATATAAGAAAGAGCTGGGCCAATACAAACAGTCCTCAACTTAACTACCAATTAAGTTACAACAGCACTGAAAAAGTGACTTATGACTGGTTTACAACTGTCACAGCATCCCCATGATTATGTGATCCAAAATTCAGGCCCTTGGCAAATGGCATGTATTTATGATGGTTGCAACACCCCAGGATCATGTGATTGCATTTACAACCTTCCCAGCCAGCTTTCAACAAGCAGTCAATGGGGGAAGCTGGATTCACTTAATGATCATGTGATTCACATAACTGCAGCGATTCACTTAATAACTGTGGCAAAACAGCTCATAAAATCAGGAGTGATTCACTTAACAACCACCTGGTTTAGCAATGGAAATTCTGGTTCTGATTGTGATTGTAAATTGAGGACTACCTGTATGCTTATGAAAATTTCAAAAGGAGTTGGGGGTGACTGAGCTGATCTAGTATGTTAGAGGGAGAACTGTTTTATGCATTTTGACAACAAAACGGATTGTAGTGATTTTCAAATCCTAGAGGTCTGAGCACTGGAACAAAAATGCCCATTCTTTAATTCTCTCACCCATGGCCTCCCCGAGCTGCAAACATCTCATGGAAAGGGAATTGCCTGTGGAGGTCCTTCTAACATACTAGATCAGCTCAGTCACCCCCAACTCCTTTTGAAATTTTCATAAGCATACAGGTAGTCCTCAATTTACAATCACAATCAGAACCAGAATTTCCATTGCTAAACCAGGTGGTTGTTAAGTGA